ACCTTCACTTTTAGGAGACGTGAATGCAGAATTCAAATTAAAGTAAAGCTTTTCTAAAAACTATGTGACACAGAAATGACGAGTGATTCAGTCAAGAAACCACATGCAATGCATTAAAATCTCAAGCAGGAACAGGAAGGCAATTTGAAAAGAAACTATTCTAATCTGAAATAAAAAGGAAAATAGGATATGCGTGTTAACACAGTCTGGTGGCCTAACCTGCTAAAAAGCCTCATAGATTCAGTGTGCTGGAGGAATTAGATAACATCAGTTGCTCTCAGTGTTGTCCCTGGCTTTAAGAGCATCACAGGGAAAAAAGCTGAGCCTCTCCAAATGGGATTTTGCTGCCTTAAAGGCACTCATTTCTCCTCACATCTCCTTGGCTCATTCTCCAGCACACCTTCCAGGAGTAAATGCACCAGAGGTCAGATACGAACAACTGTCCTCTTCCCAGGCTGCTCCTGACTCATTCCTTTAACACAGCTCATTTTGCCCATGGTGGAAAACAGCAAGATGTGACTGTGTGCCTTAAAAGCTGTGTGGGAAATCTTTGCTGTGCTGAAGCACAGGAGAATTTTAGCTGTGATTTCAGGAGGGACAAAATTTCAGTTGGATTTTTCCTTGCAGTTTAGTGGAGGTGGTACATTATCTGGTGCAAATGGAAGTAATGATGAGAAAAGTTAAAAAAAAACAAAACAAACCAACAAAACAAAACAAAAAAACCCACAAAAACAAACAAACAAACAAAACAAAACAAAAAAAATTAAAAATATTTCAGCTGAACACTTCTTTTCTGTGGGAGTGCATTTGGGAGCTTGATATAGGCCTTCCTTCCTGAATTTTGACCATCAATAAAATGGATATTTATTTATTTATATGGGTCTGAGCCTGTAGAAGGCTAGAAGGTAAGGGAAGATGTGTATGTCTCAAACACCAATTTTTGGATAGCTGTGGAGCCAACCAAAGATTGTTGGTAATGACACACTGAAAAAGAACAGGATGTGGCTGGAGCAGGGGGCCATATGAAGGTAGGGTAGCACTTTTCCAGGACAAACATCCTCATTCTGTCTCCTGGAGATCAGCATGACACAGTCCAGTGCAAGTGCAGGAATGAGGCTGAAAAGCAGGCATGGACTGCAGCAGGGATCAACACCTCCCAAAGCCCCCAGAGCCCTGCAACCCATTTCCAGAAAGGTCTGTGAGAACAGACTGCACATGATAACTAATTTGCATAGAAAATGAGAAACTTATCTCCAGGTGGGGAAAACCTATCTATGAACAGGTACCCCCAAGAGGCCTGGGCACGTGTGCACCTCGTGACCCAGCTGGATCAACGCTGGAGCCACAACTGATATCCTTCCTTCCTCCCTCCCTCCCTCCCTCCCTCCCATCTTTTTGTCCCTCATTAATTCATCTCTCTCTCTTCCCTTTCACCCCACCCCTTTATCCAAAACCCACTGCCACGTGCTTATAGTAGGAGATCAGGGACTAACTTATACCAATTTCCGTGCCAAGTGTGTAATTTACTAAATAAAACTTTGCAAGCTTTTGCAGACCCTCTGACTTTTGTTGTTCCTTTCGACCACAAGCATCTGTGAATCTTGGTGCTCCTTTCCCATAAGACTGTGATGCTACAGAGCCTTTTATAGATCAGTCTTGACTCTCCTCCTCAGGCCAAGCTCCATGGCTCAAGCTTTCAGAGGCCTCCCTCCAGCTGCGTGAAATCTTGAAAGGCACTTAATGAATTAGACATTATTAATATGCTCTTCCAGCATCAGAAGGCAGCAATTAACTCTTTGAAGACTCATCCCAAACACTGTTTTATAACTTTCAGTACTCAGAGGCAGCTTGTGATCTCATTGTGATTTTAAAGGATATCTTTCCAGAATAATTATTTTCCTTGTGTGGCAGAAAAAGAAAAAAAAAATAATAATAAAAAAAAAAAAGAAGTTCAAAGTCCTGGTTCTGCCTCGGAGTGTGCATTAGTGATGTTAGATGTGCCGTAAAGATTTCAGAGCACGGAACATGATATGCTGCAATACTTTAGCTGAGCAGATGCCTTAAGGAGGTCATTCAACATGCCAGGCTCTAAATATTACTTGGGAGTGAGAAAACATTATTTTCCCACTTCAACAAGACTTTCGCTTCCCTGTCATGTGGAAATAACCTTTTGTGCTCGGTACTATTATTAATTTATTAGCCTTTTGAATGTCTAAAGGTTTTGCAGTCTACGGACTACATCAAAGTGCTGGCTGAGGGACAGGGCAGCACAAACACGTGTGTGTGCACTCAGATCCACATATGTGTGTTTCAAAGAGCAGACCTGACAAAATAACACTTCTGCCTCTACACTTCTGACAGTGAGGACAGCCACTTCCTTGCGCACAGAACCACAAAGGAGTCTATTTACGTTATAATTAGATGTCAAACCTTGTGAGCGATGACTATGTAGAAAAAGTGCTAAGTATATATTTCTATTGAAATCAATTAAAGGAGACAATGATTTTCTTTCCATTTAGATCGCGTGACGGCAGCGCAAACTGCTGCAGTACAGCGCAGCTGTCAAGCCCCGTCTCAGCGCCTGAACAACTGCTTTCTGCTCTCCTGATGGAACTGTCCTGGATGGCACTGCTTTTCCTCAGAGATGAGCTCACCGTCAAAATGCTTCTGTGCCCAACAGGGAATCATCTATTCTTTCAGCAGATAGGGGGTTTGAAACAATCCCCTGAACAACTTTATGTAACAGGACTTAGATTGTGTCCCTGGTGCTGAACGTAGCAGGATGTTTTGTGCCTAGGAACAAAAGGCGGACTCTGGATCAGCACATCTTACTGCAGTGCCAGAAGTAAGACTCCTCCAAACAAGCAGTTATTGACTAAAAGTCGTAAAAGACAAGTGGAGTTCATCTGATGTCCCTAAGTATTCAAAAGTTAGCGATCATGGATTCTCTCAAAATCGAAAAGGAAATGTTTTTCCCATCCCAGACTGGGCACTGAAGAGGGGCAAGATGATTGCCTTCTAGAAGAACCATTCCATGGGCTATGAAGGTGATTGATGACTACTCTGGAAATTATCACCCGACTTTTAACTAAATGAATTCCACTCTTCATGTACCCCACTGGTGCAACCTTTCTTTGACTCTTCATTCGTTCTCACATAATGCCCACACATGCTCCCAGAAAACATTTCCCTTGCTTCTGCAAAATCTAACATTTCCTTAGGAATGTTCTTCCTTCTTGCTTTGAGTCAGTGTCCCCATGGCAAGTCCACATACCTACCACTGAGCTAGGGAGCAGGTATCTGTACTGAGAACTTGAGTTCCGTGAATTTTCCCACCTGGGTGACTCCCTGTGCCAAGGCCCTTCAGGGAAACCAATTTTTCTAAAAAAAGGTGTGTGAGAGAGAAGAAAATTCATTCCCTATATGCATCCATGGACTACAGAGTTGAATTCCAGCACACTGCCCTGTCAGGAGAAGACATGTCCATCTTTTGCTCAGGAAGCGAACTGAAAGTGGCAGGTTCACGGTTTTAAGAAGGAAAGAATACACTTTGGTACAATGTATGTGGCATTATCTTGTCCCATGAAATCACCATCAGCAACGCCTGAGCAGAATTGTCATGGCAGGGCTGTAGTTGGTGGCACGTGAGATGGCAAGGGGGGTTTGCTAAAGTCAAGGCTTGGAGCGCTTCTTATCAACAGAGAAGTGATAAGCTAGAGCCAGCTTTCAAGCCCCAGAGCCCTCCTTCAGGTCTGAAGTGGAGTTAACAACCTTAAAGTCAGAGGTAAGCTGACAAGTTGGAACCAAACCTGATTATAACTCAGCTCTTTCAGGCTCCAGCACAGACAGAGGGGGACTGTAATCCCATTCCATCTGCTTTTTGCCATGGGTATTTTGTGCCATATTTGGGATATTAATGAGCACAAGGAATGCACTAGAAATTAAACCTCCTCTGAAAGCAGCATTCGTATGATGCTCCAGTGGCTAGAGAGAAACTAGACTTTAAAAAGCAAAAATCTGGTTGTGTTGAACTCCTGTTACTGCAGAGGCTGAAATTGTCTTGTGAAAAACTCAGGTAGCCTTAGAACGTTATCAGGTGAGATGCCCAAGGTACAGCTGCAGAAAAATGTGCTTCAGCAGCTAGAGGATCACAGTTAATACTCAGTAATCTATAAATCATTGTTATGAGATTTCGCTATGCAAATGAAATTTATATAACCCTCATCAACCATAAAAAAATCATAAAGATGAAATTTTGCAGCCGCAATGCGAATTAAAGAATCCCTTCCTTAACCTGTTTTCAAGATTTGTCCTTATAGCTAATTAATTTTCAGATGGAGTGTTCTTTGAAAGAACTAATGGATAGTGAGCATTACTGATTGATTATAAAACAAGCAGGAGGGTTTAAGAAGTGAGCTGTGAATGTAAAATCACTACCAAGCTTTATTAACCTTGCCATATTAAAATTCTGGACTATGTGACTGCAAGAAGCAGGTATTAATACAGTACTTTTGACGAGTGTGTTTTATTTATTTACATCCATTAATTTCTCTTATATTCCATACAGATCCATCAGACTGTCCTCTGAACTGTATCTTAGCAGATGAAAGACTAATTCCTCATCTTAAGAAATCCAGAATCTGGATTCTGGGATTCCATAAAACATAACTCTATAAATTTATCCAGTGGGAAAAAAACCAAACCAAAACAAAACAAACAAAAAAACCCCAACAAAATGAAACCCAACAACTACAAAGAAAAGGCAAAGAAATGTAATTCATGTATCATCCTGCTAGGGCTGCTCTTTCAGAGCTGCAAATCTATGGGTAACTTTTATTGAGCCATCATTACAAGCAGTGACAGCAGTTATTGAAAGGCCAGTCAATCTGGCAATGACCTTAAAACATCAAGAGTGAATCAGGGGTTGTTAAACACTGCAAACAGTCTGCAAGAGCGTGCAGACAGTGAGAGAAAGGGGAACACAGGAGCTGTTGCCTTACCCGCTTCCTCAGATTGCAGGTGAGCGTGAGATTCCTCGAGAAGGAGTTTGCAAAAGCGGTGTAAAAGTCCAACACTTTAAGCAAGGCTTCTCGTTTGATAATATGCAGGTCGCAGTACGTCAGAGCCCGTACGTTGGCACACGCGTGGGCCAGGCTGGTTTCCTTCCAGAAGATATCACCAAACACATCACCTTTACCTGAAAAACAGCAGGACAAATTTGTTATAGGGTAGAGCTTAGGCAGTGCTCTTCAGCGCATAAATGATTTCTTCCCAAACAGCCTTGCACTTCCAATTAATCTAAACTAAGCCCCCAACTGTGAAAACTAATAAGGGTGAAAGTTTTAGAAGTATCTGAGGTACTTGAGTATCCTTAACGGTAGCACCAGGTTTCTCAGGTATTTATAGATTGCCCTGTGAAGTGTCACAGAGCATAAGAACCAGATTGTAAAGGCCCCCTTGTAGCAGAAGATGCAAGTAATGGATTTTTCAAAGGCTCGCAAATATAATGAGCACTTAACTAATGTTTAGGTGATTGAACAGTTCAGGTGTCTATTCCCCAGTGATTTAAGCAGTCCCACTCTTCCAAAAACCCTCTGACATCCAGGTTCCTACATCTTCATGGCTTCCCAGTGGGGTACAGAAGCCAGCTTCCTGGGCCTAAGGACCACATTATAAAGGATGTTTAAACATTTTTAATTCAGTGTAAGTGGCAACACTCCTTCTGAAAAACCCATCAAAAACCTCACTGATGCTTTTAAACTTTAATAGCCAGCTCTAAATCTTAAACACATCCAGAAGTCTAGTTCTAAACCCAAACTCATCCATTTAAGAAGTTTAGGATTAAGTCTGTATTCCAATGTTTGCTGAGTAAGAAAGGGCTTGACACTTTAGACGTCCACACATATAAATACCTTCAACCAGCTGGGAAAATGACACCTAAAGGCCACTTCTGCATTGGCAGGCAGTGTAGCAGAACAGCTGACTTACACATTTTGAGGACTTGGGACTAGTTGCAGTCCAGTCCCACGGACAGAGGAGCTCCAAAGGTTGGAAGTGCATGAGATGTGCTCTAACACACCTTGGTGTCCTTTCCTCTGCAAGGAATCCATACACCCACACACCTGTGCTAGACACTGAAGCTGGACAAGTCGGGAGGATGAGGACATTGGATTCAAAATCACACTTCTGACCCAACAAAAACACCAGCATGGGTGCAGATTGGCCAGGTTTGGACTCTGTGGTTGTTCCAAGAAGAGGAAGTGGCAGCAACAGAAGCATTCAAAAACTGCCTCTTGCTATGTGGCGAGGGGCTGGGCAAGGGCCATGGTGTGTGGTTTGTGGCTGACATCTCAAATTCTGAAGCAGAAACCATGGTACAAAGGGTATTTTCTGTTTCAGACCCCAAAGACATCCCTGCTCTTTATTTTAGCAGTTATTAAAAGGAAACTAAAATCAGTGGCTATTGATTCCAGGTACCTCAAGCAGGCCCTTGGTGAAGGTTAGTGATGTTACAGTTTTGGGATAAAAAGGTAACACATTTAAATATTTCATCTTTTAAAAACTTGTAACATTTCACTCAACTCTATTGTGGGAACCAGAGTGCTAATTTATCCAACATTATTACTTCTGGGGGTCAGAGGCTCTATTTCTCTATTTCCATTTCTGCTTTAGGTATTGTATCCAGTAAAACCTATCTAACAGTTGTCAGGCAGAGTGAAATAAATTGTTCCAGTCCTTCTTTATTTCCCTGTTTTCATTTTCTAGCAAAAGTCTCTACAGAAGAATCATCCCTTAGAAAGATTATAAAGGCATCTCATTGCACTGCTTTTAATTCCACATATTTTGATGTAATTAAAATTAACTACAATACCTAACACAGCTGGTATAATTTATAAAACAAGTTGCTTTAAAATGTTTTCCTTAATACAGAGCATTTTCTAGTAACATTATAATTTATCCGATGCACTGTTTTGAATTTACCTTTTTCAGTTAATTACCCTTGTCTATACCCACAGTTCAAAACCCAATTTACAGACATACTCAGCACAGTTACATAATTTATAGAAAACAGACCATTTCTGAAATGCACAAAATTGCTTAATGGATTTGCTCTCTGAGGTGGACACGGGACAGAACTGAGTCCTGCTTTTGGTGGCTGCAGAGTGCAGTTTAAAAGACAGAATTCTACAATAGGGGCTATTGTGGTTTTTCCTCTGAAATGTGAGTGAGCCACTTGTTTTCTTTTCAAAGTTAAGGTAATACATAGTTAATTTAAGTCAAGAGGTTAAAAGCAATGGATGCTCAGTCCAGAACTCTGCACGATGGTGCAGTTACAGAATCTGTAACCAAACCACGGATTAATGAAACCATTATTCATAAACTTGAGAAGATCTCATTGTCTTCTTCTCAGCTCTGTGGGGCAGGGACTGCACTGGCTCCCTCAGAACGGGTGGGACATGATGAACTGAACTTACTGACTCTTCCATGAGCCATCGCCCACTGGATTTGAATGGTGAAACTCCAAACTCCTCTTACACTGATGTTTATACTCTTTAGAAAGTATAAAATCTTGGAAGCTTTTAAGGGTTCTTGAATTTGACATTTCCCCACACAAGTCCAAGCCTTATTTGCTGGTTATAAATGCGCTAAGGAATGTACTGAATGAAAACAAAACCTACCAGATCCTCCAAAACAACGTGTCTTTTTACATAAATACAGAGATTAATGTACTCTACTTCATCCCTATTAAATGTAGTTCACTGCATAGAGAGTGGTAATTATTCACTCAGGACAAGATTAGATGTTAGGAAGAAATTCTTTACTCAGTGGGTGGTGTGGCACTGGAGCAGGATGCCCAGAGAAGTTGTGGATACCCAACCCCTGGAAGTTTTCAAGGCCAAGCTGGATGGGGCTTTGAGCAACCTGGACTAGTGGAACATGTCTCAAACCATTCTATGATTCTAAGGCTAATTTTACACACTGCAACTAAATAAAAATAAAACTTTCAGAGTTGCGACAGAAAATTTAACTGGTAGGTGTGACACACCAGCTACTCAAAGGCACATATATTTATTGTTCACTTGCAGGGAATGTGCAGACCCCAGGGAAAGCCCCTCTGGGGCAGGGCTGGGAATACAGAAGCACTGGGGCTGATGCAGCCTGTATAATTCCCAAAGACCCTCTCTGGAGATTTATTGAGGCCTCAGTATGTTAACTCCCAAACCTGTATGGTCCTTAGTCCTGAGCAGTCCCAATACACCTTCTGACTGAAAGCAAAGCTCTGGGAAATCCTCCTGCCCCTGCTCTCACAGTGCCCAAAGCACCGTTGAAAAAAGGAATGCCCTAAATCAGAGTGGGAACTGCTTGCATATATTTTCCACTTGGTATGAGGAAAGGGAGGAAGAGAGTCAGTATTTGGACACTGCTGGATTAAAGCTGGCAAAAACACGGGTGTAAGGATAGAATCACAGAATCAAAGAATCCTTTGGGTTGTAAAAGACCTCTAAGATCATCAAACCCAACCATTGACCCAGCACCGTCAAATCCACCATTAAACCATGTCCCTAAGTGTCACATCTATAGAATTACAGAATCATTTGGGTTGGAAAAGACCCCTAAGATCATAAAATCTTGGATCTGGGGACTGAAAGAACCATGGAAAACAGGAGGACATGTGCAGGGTGTTGGTGACAGGCATTATTTTTGCTGAAATAGCTACACTGCCATCATTCTAAATACAGTGTACTATGTATGCATGCCTGTACATAAAATATACATATATATATTCATTCATATTTGCATACATACGTTTAGAGACAATCATATGGTATTTAACTATATAATAAGTCATAATATTTCTATGCACTATCTTCTATATTTTAATAACTCTTCCAAATAGACTGGGGGGTGGGGTAGACACTCTCCACTTGCACCAATTGGCACTTGCCAATTTGTCAGACAGCAGCTCGTGCCTGGACCTTTCAGGCAGAAAAATTCATACAGGCCTTATGAAACTCCCCAGGAGACTGCAGACGGAATGAAAAGTACTTGGAGAGGAAAGACTCTTGTTAAACAGTGTCTCAGAACCCACAAACATATATATATATAAATATATATAAAGACAAAATTTATCCTCCTTCAGATGGGAAAAGAAACTGAGCTAATAAATATCCTAGTAAGAGCTTGATGGGTCCCTTGGAATAAAGTTTAGGCAGCCAGTTAAAGAATAAATTCTTGGTGGGAAATAGAACTGGGTAAAAACACGTACACGGGACTAAAACTTTTTTTAAGGTGATGAGGTGTTTTTCTGTGCAGCCTTAGCTAATAGACCAGCTGACCTTTCCCACATCTCCAAAGTCCCATCAGTCACACTTAGCAAAAGCTGGACATGATAAATAATGCTGCTTTCCATCACAATACACTGAAATCTTATGTTGCTTACAAAAACCAAAGGCTGAAGTTGTTTCACAGTCAGTAAAACTGTACCATGTAGAGAAAGTGTTCATCTAATCAGTTCAACTTCCAATAACTATGAAGTGATGACAGCATGCACACAAGTGGAGGTCAGTGACCAAATACCATGTTCATGCAGCCATAATTACATATGCTGATATCAATATTCCCACAAATACACCTTTGTCTATCTATCTGCAGTGGAACCTTTGGCTGCAGAACAGATGTGCCTCAAACTGATGTAGACATCCCGTGAGCAGGGAGGGAATCAGCTCCTGTTACCCAGAGGAGCACACAGCTCTATGATGGTTCAGGGATTAGGCAAACTCTGCAGCTCCTTACCATGGGACAACGGAGTTGGATGCACTGGTTTAAAAAACTGGGATATAAAAAATTGTGGGATGTATTCATGGAATAAAACCCATCTGTGGCTATTAAACACTAAAGATTTCCCTCTGGGTGAAATAAAATTGAAATATAATTCAATGGAGGGTTGGAGAATATTCTGGGGAAGCACCACTGTTCCCTTACTTCACATTCCTACTTTTTCCTGCACATCTGCTATTGACCCTTTTTGGAGACAGGCTACTGGGCTGCCTGGATTTCTGGACTCAGCTGATACAGTTGGTTCTGTCTAAAGAGGGGATCTGGAGAAGATGGGGGTGATTCAGTGTTGCAAATTCATCAGGTGCACTTGCCATCTGGGACACCACTGCTTCCTGTAAGCACAGCCATGATGTGCAG